GCTCTAAATCTTCACAGCAATCACACAATGAGACTATGCACGGCAAGAACAACATGGATATTGTTCATTTTTAGATGCTATACTGGCCGCAAAGCTAGACATCTATATCTTGTCTATATCAGTGAGATTGGTCAACCCGTCGTACACTCTGATTCTGCATGTGGTGTACGCAGCGACTCTAGTGAACGAATTTGGGATGATGCACGTGCCAAATACGTCATACACGCCATGTGCACAGGCTTAGGTATTATTTACATTCGCAGGATCCCACTCACACTCGCATCGTAAATTGAACAGTACGTTCCTTATAACCATGTTACCCTCGCTCAACCATCAAAGCAGCGGATTCTGATCGGGCATCTTATAATAGTCTATATAGTACCTGCGTGTCCTTCACATGACAATAACTACACACCCGCACTTGTGGCATTAATTATCTTAAAGACATGCACACAACCCGATTTAAAGAAGCCGTATTTACATCACAGCACATCGTGCTGCGAACTGTGAACTCCTTCTATCCATAGTAACCTCCCTGCACTAGTGAAGTGATACATAGAGCCCAACTCTCGCAACTCATTGGAGTATACTATACGTTGGCAACCTCTAACAGCGAACGTGACAGTAACTGCACGCTTGTACTCATAGGACAATCTGACAGATAGTAGATACATACGCAGGATATCGCACTAAACTTACTAGAATAGTAAAGCAACCACATCGTACTTTCAGCAGCGATACCTTTCTGCCCACAACGCCCTCCCGGCCTCTTCAGGTGGCGTATTCGAAGTCGGTAACCTCTGGTAATACATGGGATAGCACATGGTTGATCCCACTAATACGACGAACCGAGATATATAGTAAACAGATACACAGGATATCACTCCAGACCTACCAAATTAGTAAAGCAACCGCATCGTGCTTCTAGCAGCGACACCCTTCTGCCCATAGTGCCCTCTCGGCCCCTCCATGTGGTGTACTCGGAGTTGGCCACCTCTAACAGTGCACGCGACAGCAACTGCACGCCCACACTTGTGCGACACTCTAGCATAGCCAAAAACGATGCCACTGCCAGTGCGTCGACTATTAGCGCCGAGCTCATGGGAAAGATATTCCCAGGCTGTGATGGTTACAAATAGGGTAGACAACGGTAGTATATGAATCGTATGCAGAGAGATATGAATTGGAAAGCGCGGCGCTCACGAATGAGTCATTCCCAGATCGCAAAAGACACAAATGTGTGTATATGTGTACGCAATGCGCCGTTAAACATACCCTAGCCTTCACAGTGCGACCGTCGTCATCGAGCTTCACTTTCCGACGGTCATCGCTTTGAACTTCCCCAAAGGCCACACCTGAGTGTATGGAGATATACAGATCAAATAATTAGTATATTGAAAATCATTAGGATGATTCGAATAATGAAGATTGTGAAAACCGTCTTGGTTGTGACATGACGTGACAGAGATCCACATGAAAAAAACCTACAAATTGAACGATATCTACGACGAAAAAATGGAACGGCTATGTTCTGAGTTGGCAGAGTGATCGCTAAATGATGGGGCTACACATACTAAGACCATACATTGACCAAAACCGTCATACTGAATATTACAGAAGAACTTCTGGGAGAAAGATGACTATACGGCACGAAGTGTCAAATAAAAGCCAGCCGAATGCCAGCACAGCGGCAGTAATATACAATTGTGGGCTCAGTGATAGGGCAAGCTTATAAAATACATGCATGCGTAATATATATATATATATATATATAACATACATATTTGCATGCATGCATGCATACATACATACATACATACATACATACATACATACATACATACATTCATACATACATATATATATATGTGTGTA